TTTTTTTTTTTTTTTTTTTTTTTTTTTTTTTTTGCCGTTACATCCTTGAATTCCTCGTATTTTTGTACCTCTTCAATTCGAGGTGATTTTTTGGTCCCTTCTTACTGTCTTTTTTTTACATATTTCTTTTGCTGGTAAGGACTTATTCTTGGCATTTCTATAACCATATCTTTGGCGAAGTATCTTTTCACCAAATGTTCAAGTGTGGACAAAACGATACAGTCCCTACTGTAGCCACTGTAACAGCCAAAACTTTTTCTCCAAATTCTTTCGTTACTTTGCATCCGTCAGTTCCTTTATCGAGCACTTTGACGCGAGCATTCGGCGGACCATATGACAAAAAAAAAAAAACAAATGACAGAATAGACTTCAGTGACAGCCCGAAAAACGGATGAAAACAAATTTTTCTAAGTTCTGCCAGATGGTGTGAGAAACTTCTATAATATTTTCATCTTTATGCCTCCTGTATTTTATATGTAACTTTTACAGAACACTTTTCAAAAGTCTATAGTTTTCTTTTAGGTTTCTTCGTATAAAAAGTCAGTTAAAAGAGCTGTGAATTACATATTAGACAGATAGAATTGTCGAATTATCATTTATAAGCGATGAGCGGAAAAAGGAGAATGGATTTTTGCTATCTTCGTGAAGATCAGCTCAAACCGCCCGCACTTTTAGGTTGCGCATATCCAAACCTGATTCATTCATCAAGTAGCTGTTTATGATTTCACGTCTGCCATGTATTTTCCCAACACTTACAGTTTTTATATGAGAATAAACGTATAACAGGTTTTATTCATCGGTTAGCACTCCAAAGCAGGATTTCACTGTGAAAAGATGCACGTTAGGAAGAAGTAACGAACCACAAAAAATTGCATGACGTGGAGACGAAAGAGTGAGTGGAAAAATAATAAAAGACTGTGTATGATTAATTCAAGCAATGCTATATTGGCAATAAATAAATGACTTCTTCTCGTCCAATGGCGCCACACGATGAGGGAACTTCCAGGAAACCTTGTATCGTTTAAAGTATGGACCGCAGACGCAATGAATGCGTATAATCAAAACAATGTTGCATGGTTTTTGGCTGTTAGAAGTTTATTTAATTTGGTCCTTGAACGATTGTTAGGCTGCTGTACTACTGCAAGAGTTTTATTCCAAAAAACTGAGTAGCCGTATGAAAGACGATTTTGGTAAACGACCGGTAGTCCCAACGAACGAAAAGTCGATTACTGGTGGATGTTGGTAAATTAGTGTTTTTGCTACAGAAACCGAAATGAAATTTGTTACAAAAGTTTTATAATTATCAGAGTTAGTGGTTTTCTGCTGCGCTCAAGCGCATTTTTTTATCTTTTTCTTTTTTTTCGTCAAGTAACTTCTGCCGACCGTTTCAATGGGTAATCCGTTTCCGTGTCTGTTTTAATTCTATCTGTCTATTGTTAAGTTCAGGATATGTGTTAATATTTTATTACGAATTGTTAGTCGCAGCAACCCAGATAGGTCGCTTCGGTTGATGGCGTTTGTTTGCACTGAAACTACTCTTTTCAGTCGTAAATTTCATTTACTACTAACTTTTCTATGAATGCATTTTGAAGGTAGTACACTTCTTGTTTCAAGCTTCTCTAATTTTTTTCACTTATTGTTTACTATCTTTACTCAGTCAATTTTCATGGTTTCCTGGTCACAACCTTTCGCTAGTGAACATTTGTGCTGTTTTTAGAAATGAGCGCGCTGCATTTCTCAAACCAAGGAAGTTTTCATTCCGGGCTTCATACAATTTTTGTACTGCTATTTAAACGGAGTAACCTTTCCGTCTGGGCCTGCCTTGGTTTCTTAAGGACCCAGAAATAACTTTACCGAGGACTCAGAAAGTTAACAGCTTCTGGAGTTAGTTTCAAAGAATAAGTGGAAATTGGTGTTGTGCATTCCTTTTAGCGCTGTATCCTTACTGAAACTCTAATCTTGAAGACCAGTAGTAATTTTTATTTAGACGTAACTGCTAAATGAAGGAGGGCAGCTCAGTTTATTGTTTTAGCCGTTCTTGTAAATTTTTTGCGTGCAACAGTGCATTCTATTAAGAAGTCGGGAGTGCTGCTTTTATGAATATGGTCATAGAGTTGCATTTAAAAACTGTGAATGTAATTGTTTCGTTGTGGGACTGTGTGAATACTGCGTGGTGAGAAGGACTCCAGTAAGGAGTCTTCCTGACCGAGTTATTGTTTGTTATTGTGTTGTTTACAGTTTTATTCACAGCTTCTATTTCTTTTGCTGGAAGTTCTGTTTTCTCATTTTTTTCAAGCTCATTTTCATCTATGAATGTTCCCTATTTAACTTTTATTTTCCCTTAACCTTGACTTTATATCTATCCACTATTTTGCGTCTACTCTTGACAGTTTTGAGTAACCAGAGTCTTGCGAAGCTTTTTGTTGTTGAATGAATTCTAGAAATTTTGAAACTAAAAATTTTTTTTGAGTGTAGCATTGAAAAGTGCTTTTTTTCCAGAGTTACTAGCCGTTAATGTTTCGTCAGTTGAAGTGAAGTTGCTGGTCCTGTTTCATCTATATTTGGTATTTTATTAATAATGTTTCCTACCAATAATCCCCACTTCCCAACTGCTGGTTCGCAACAGGATGCTGCAAACAATCTTAATATGGCTTTCTTCCTGCAGCAGTTCAGGAACCCGCAAGCTTTGGCACAGCTGTATCGGGCTCAGGTTCGTCTGTTTCTTTTCGAAATAAAGTCGAAATAATTGCTTGCTGTAATCTACGTCAG